CGAAAATTTGAATTCTTAGAAAAGAAGTTTCTAATGGATGAAGCAAGTGGGAGGCGCATTAAACTTAAGGAAGATCAAGAACCACAACTCGATGTCACTCAAGTTGGCACTAGTACTCAACCAGAGATTGTTGAAGATGAACAAATTGTTTTTCTTCAACCTATTAATAAACAAGGCATTTACATATCCGACAGGACTCGTCAGGAACCTGATTGATATGGATTTCTCATTGATGAGTGCTTCATGATGATGAATGCTAATGAGCTCATCAGCTATCGAAATGCAATGACAAATCATGAATTTGGAAATGGATGAAAACCATGAATGAAGAGATACAATCCATGTGAAAAAACCAAGTATGAGATTTTGTTGAACTTCCTCCCCATGGTAAGACTGTAGGGAGTATGTGGATCTTTAAATAGAAGACTGGTATGGATGGTAATTTACACTCAATTAAGGCAAGACTTGTTGTGAAAGGATTCACTGAGACTTACGGAGTTGATTATAATGAAAATTTTTCTACAGTCGCTATGATTAAATCTATTAGGACAAATGGATGTTAAAACTGCTTTCCTAATGGAAACTTGGAATAAGATGTCTATGTGGTTCAGCCTAAAGGTTTTGTTGATCAAAAATATCCTAATCAAGTGTGTAAGATGAAGAGATGCATTCATGGATTGAAGCAAGCCTCTCGAAATTGGAATCATCATTACGATGATGAAATCACAAAGTATGGTTTTATCAGATATGAAGATGAATCTTGTGTTTATAAGAAAACTAGTGGGAGCTCGGTTACCTTCCTATTCTCTATGTGGGTGACATACTTATCATGGGAAATCACACTCTGACTTTGGAAGGTGTAAGTCTTGGATTGGTTAATGGTTTACAATGAAAGATCTAGGTGAGGCAGCATATATTCTTGGTAAAAAAATCTACAGAGATAGATCAAAACGATTAATAGGTTTGAGCTAAAGGATGTACATTAGCAAAGTCTTGAAGCAGTTCAAGATGGAAGACTCCAAGATAGGATATGTACCAATGGCACAGAGCACAATACTAACTTCATTTCAATTTGCTAGCACAAAGGCTGAGGTAGAGAAGAGGAAATATGTTCCATATGCTTTGGAATTCGGTTCCATAATGTATGTTATGAATTGTACTAGACCTAATCTTCCTTGTGCTATGAGCATGACAAGTAAGTATGAATAAAATCCAGGAGAAAGTCATTGGATGGCGATGAAGAACATCCTAAATTACTTACAACGAACTAAGGATATGTTCCTCGTCGGTGGAGGAGTACAAAAAAGATCTAAATGTAAAGTGTTGCAGTAATGCTTCTTTCACAACAGATAGAGATTATTGTAAGTCGCAATCAGGATATATCTTTATTATAAATTAGGGTGTAATATCTTGGAAGAGCTCCAAGAAAAGTGTTGTAGCGCAGTCCATTACAGAGTTAAAATACATTTTGTTTCAGAAGTTGCAAAGGAGGCTGCGTGGATGAAGAAATTCGTTGGAGATGTAGGGGTTGTTCCTTTTATTCATAATCCCTTCGAAATGTTTAGTGACAATGAGGGTGTTATTTCCTTAGCCAAAGAGCCCAAATCACATCAGAAGACCATGGACATTAACCGAAGGTTCAACCAAATTCAAGCTGAAGGTTGATGTGGTGAAATTAGTATCCGTAAAGTACACATGCATCTAAATTTGGCAACCCCATTCACGAAGCCCATTCCTGAAGCATAGTTTGAAGGTCGTGCTCAAGGAACCAGACTTTGCTATTCTAGTGATTGGATTTTATCTTTGTTTTGGTATTGAATGTTAGAACTATGTGAGACAAATTAATGTAATGACTTTGATATATATGGAATATGATCTTTTTCATTAATTACTTGTTTGAGTTCTATATTAACATGTTTAATCCTTGAGTAATTTAATCACTCTAAAATCCATATTCGGTTATTATTGTAGGAACAATAATGAAGTATGATTAATATGAATTAGATTGGTTGACCAAGCATTGTAACCAAGTTCATAAATACTTTCTAGAAAAAAAGTCTTGGATACGAACTGTTCAAGATCACTTCATGGATAACTATCATGAAGGATACTTGATAACGGTAATATCTTTGTATCCTTAATACCTGAGATACATATTTAGGACTTAAGTATGAGGAATATTGTGCTTTGATGTAGTCAAATGTTGTTCTTTTTAAAAACAATTATAAAGGCTATTATCAGGTATAATATGAACCATACGAGAGGCGTATGAAGTCAAGATGAGATTTTTTCCTCTTATTCGTTGAGAATTAGACATCTAAGGTGTTACGAAAAGTTGAACACTTACTAAGATTGACGTTGATTCATATCTCATGTTCAATATGATGTCAATAACAAAGAGATAACTGATTACATACCTAATACATCATTTGTAGGTTTGAGATTTTTTGGAAATTCGATGTTGATGAATGACAGTTTGTAGTGTGTTATTGGGGGTAGTGAAATATTGCTAGACGTTCACCACTGTCTATTATCAATTCATAATGAAACTTGTGTAAGTGGGAGATTGAAAGATCTTTATGCTTAAGGATCATTATGAAATGATATTTTTTAATAATATATGATCCTATAGGATCACTCCATATAACAAGTAAATACTGATTAGTTATTTATTAAGTAATATGATTATTAATAAACTAAATCTTCACTTGTATTTAATTGGGGAATTAGTGTTTTTGAGTAATAATAAAAGGTATCATAACTAGTTATATTTAATCACATAGTATGATTTAAATGTGATGTACAACATTATAGACTTAGTGAAGACCATTAGAATATGTCATGTACATAATATAAGAGAGATGATGTGGAATGCACTCACTTACTCTCCTTTAATTTTATGGGGTTTTGTTTCCTTGACTTTGCTCATACACCATCCTTCTTACTTGCAAGAAATGTCTCATTAAATTAAAGCATAGGCTTTCATCTAAGTGTGTAAGTATATAAAGAAGAGAAGAGGCTAGAAATAGTTTACATTTTCTTCTTCTCTCTTTGCATAAAAAGTCGAGAGCTTGCATAGATCACATCTCTTCCCTCTAGCAAATTAGTTGTGTAGTTTTTGGGGCTTTAGCTTGTTATGCTTTTGAAGATTTATTTGATATTTGTATTAGATGCTTAAGAACATCCATTATCAAGTAAAGGACTAACATCCATTGGTGGTTTGGTGACTTGTTTTGTGGTTACACATAGAGAGATTCTAGCTTGCATCTTTACCATCTTCATCAACATTCTAGCCTCCCCGTGAGGATTCAAAGGACTACAAAGGTTGTCATACTTTTACCTCATCTATGGTTGTTGTTTTCTTTCCAATCTTTGCAAGTATATCCTTTGGTGGGAATAAAATTAGTTTACGTCATTTAAATTTTAGAGTCTTCCGTTGCTAATATTGTGTTTTAGAAACAACGTTTGAATAAATTCCCAAGAGGTACATACAACACAAATTTGATTAAAATGATTGAGTTTACCTCACATGATACCTTATTTATACATGTCAAGAAGACCGGTTACATTGAAGAAGAAAGATCAATGACTGACATTAAATGGCCAAATATAAGCCATAACCGCAACCAACCATTAAGTGACATCTAACGAACATTACATTGGAAAACAAAGGCATCCCAAGGGATGTTATAGCAAAATCGAACACAATTTGGTGCACCACTTGGCCTAAAAACACTTTTTTTTTTTCGACAAATCAAAAAAAAATCCTCTTATAACCTATGATATAAGATTGGTAATGGATAACCCACACATATTTAATTGTAGAGGCACCTGACATGTCTTCCCAATTGGCGTTATCATAAGGTGGTTTTTTTTTCCAAATAATGATTATATTAGCTAGGTTTTTGCATAATAGGTTTGTACATTATGTTTAATAATTTATATTACATAAAAGAATTAGTAGTATTGAACCAAATGCTTTATATATATGTAATACTAATGGCCAACCGGTATTTGCCTATGCTAGACTCAGGGGCGTCCCGTTGATTTTGAGGGGTCAATACGAAAATTAAAAATGACCCATATATATATATATATATATATATATATATATATATATATATATATATATATATATATATATATAACTTTGTTCATATTACCATAACTCGATAAATGTTATAAAGACAATAAAAAAGATGATAATACAATATACAATCTTACCTTGCTAAATGAATCGTATGACTCTCGGTGCACTATTCAGTTATTTAAAATATGTTTGTTAGTGTGCTAGATTCGTTAATCAACGACAACAATCAGAATATAAAACAAGATGTCGTCAGATTTAGAAATTAAGAATAGAAAAATAATTAGTTGTTTAATTTCAGTTAACAGTAAAAAAGTAGAGCGAGAGTGCAATATAAATGAGATGTAGAGTCTAATGGAATCATAAAGATAATGAACAAAAAATGTAGTTTGAGCTTTGCAGTTGCTGCAAATTTGAAAGTTTGTAATTGGAACAAAACATAAGCTCTACCGTAAATTTACATTAGCATAAATGCAATTTTTACTTTTAATCCCAATTTTTCAAAACGTGAGTTGTTGCATTTTTTAATTGTAGCGTTAGCTATTAAAATTGAAAAATACATAGACTTTTCTCTTTTTGATTATTGGATTGTCGATTGCTAGATTATAAACTTAATCATATGTAAAATTGGCCCCCTCCACGACATGAGTCATGTACGGTTGCCCACCTCGCACACCCTCAAAGACGCCCATGGCTAGACTACTAGTGAATGCAAGTATGTATTTGAACCATTTTAATAGAAAAAAAAAAGTTTTATTTGCCAAAGTAAATACAAGTATTACACAAAAGAGACATTTTGTACATCATGCAATAACCCTTATTATGGATATTGTTCTTGCATGGTAATATAGACATTGTTAATTCATGGTATTGGAAGTTCATATAGTCTTGGATCCCAATTGAGCTAGAAAATTCATCCATCTTTTATGAGTTTCATCACAACATCCAAATGTACCATGTTAAGAACATCGTATGGATCATCACATATCACGTTTGTGCGTTTAGCACTCTCGTCCTTTGCAATAAATGACATGTTTTCTTCGCAAAGCTCCCCGTTTTCAAATGCTAAGCCATAATTGTCGGTTTTTGTACCTTGAAGTTGTTTGGGGGAACTAGTCTCAATAATGTAAGGAAGATCTTGACCCGCAAGAATTGAAGCCGAGATAAATTGAAAATCTTTGAACATATGATCCGAGATTATGTCCAAATTGGCGTTTGTAACGATGTACGGTGAAGGGAGTTCCTGTGTTGTAATCGGAAGTTGACTCTTTGGGTTTTCTTCTGCTTTCGATTTGTTCTTTGACTTGTTGCCTTTTTGTCGTACCCGACACAACACCCAATCATCCAACTAATAAAAGATTAATAGCACATATAATAAAACAAAATATTCAACAAACCAAAATGATGTGTATCTAAGACCAGATGTATTAGCAACTCAAATCCAATCCGTCATTCTATTAGATGATTATTATCTTTTTCCATCTTCACAACCTTTAACTGTAACTCAATTTCAACATTTTATATTTCATTAACCTAACATAACCCAACCTTTTATTTGTAATCATTATGATCTCTAATTCTTTTAGTTTATTTTAAATTAAAGAAATATATAGAATTTTTTTTATTCCAAAACAAGCTAAACTATTCATTTCAAAGTTAAAACACACGAAAAGAATATTATGAAACTGGCAATTCAGGATCGTATATGAAGAAATATGTCAATATTAGTTTTTAGGTATAAAAAACAATTATAAATGCTGGTGATATCTTTAAGGAAAAATAAAAATAAAACATTATTTATAATAAAAGAATTATATGTAAAAAAAAAATACAGAAATGGACAGTTTTAGTGTGTCAAATGGAGGGACACCACCCGGGCAAACCTACGTAGGGTAAGTTTTTTTTACTTCCTAATTTTTGGCCCATGATCGTCATCACCAATAAACATAGTGTAAGTACGATATATATGAAGTTAGAGGAAATGATTATATTACCCTCATCGATCCGTTTAGTCTAGATGATCGGCTAGATGACTCGGGCAATCTATACTCACTCATGGTCCAATTTGTCTTGACATTCTTCGTTGGACTTCCTTTAAAAAACGCCAAAGCTTTCTTAAGTCCAATCTTTTTTGACCCTGAAGAAGCAAAAATCGGCTTATCTTTCCCCATCGCCTTCCAAAAACCCGATCCTGCAGACCTTTTTGGCCTCGATCCATTTGGGTATTTTCTGTCCCTCGGGCTAAAAAAGAACCACTCATCCGCCCCAGAAAATGTTTTTCCTGCCAAGTAAACAAGAATCACATAAATTCATCATCAACAACGTTACTGTTTCACATCATTGAAACAAGTTAACTGTCTCACATCATGGAAACAAAGTTTCAGCTGTCTCTCTCTATATATATGTTAGAGTCATTAACCTTTCCTCAAATATATGTTTGAAGAGAAATCTAGGACTCACAATATCTAAGTAACAAACACAACAATAATAGCAATGATTCTTACTTGGAAGTTCCCACGGGTTAAACTTGTACAACTCGATTTCTCCAATCACTGAAGCAGGAACTGAACAAAAATTCACTTTCTTTTGCAAGTAGTGAACGATAAGTTCTTCGTCAGATGGATAGAACCTGAAGCCGGGTGGGAGATCAAGAAATTCTTCCCTCTCCATTGTTCGATTAAACAGTAAAATGACCGGGAAAGTATCATGCAAGAAACCTCGGTTTTTATGGAGGCCAAATTTGCTAGAGACAATGTAAGACAATATTAAAATGTAAGACGATATTAAATTTGAGAAATGTCGTTTTCATTTATTTTATTAGAAAATGATTTGGATTTTTATGAAAGATGCCGGTGTTAACGCTTATGTTGGCCACATAGGTATACTCGTCGTCCGAAGGTTGTGGAGACGAACACCCGTCATGTTAGCTAACGTTACATGCTAACAAAATAATCGCATTATTTTACCGTTTTTGGTGATGTTCTTTTTCATGTCACAATCACACATTTCAAGGACAATTTTAAACTTGTACGGTATCAAATTGGTGATATTTAACATCTATAACTTTCATTTTATTTCTTCTTATAAATAGGGTTTAATTTTGTAGAAATTAGTATTATTCAAATTTAATATTGTGTATAATAACAATAAATTAATAGCCACTAACAGTAACAAGTCCGATCATACTCTGAAACGATCGAATGTAGATTCGTAAGATCTATTATACTATTATTATTATTATTATTATACAAAATTTCAACAATGGCCCTTGTGGTTTGCCAAAAGTGACATGTTAAGGATATCTTTCATTAAGGTAACACTCGTGGTCCATTATGTTTACAAATCTAACACGGATAGTCCCTGGCTTTAATGCTGTTAACCTACCTCCGCTAGAGATGGGTCATTTTTGACCTTTCACTTGTCACCGTCAAAGGAGCTCCCATAATGAAGCCTACACACTAGTCCTTCCTCCCATCTTTAGTATCGTTCCACAAAAAATCATTTGCATTCTTATCTTCAACCTCTCACAATCTGCTTTGCATTAGGGTTTTTGACAAAATGGTGTTAGCATTATGGAGCATTCGTTCCCGCTTTATCAAAACTGGTTTGAAGAAGTTGCATGGTCCGTACCCTGTCACGCTTGTGTGTGTGTGTTTTTTTTCCTGGAAAATGAACCCCAATTCTCACTCTTTACGTTTTCATTATTATAGAAGGGATTCCAAACTAGTTCAAGATTAGGCTAAATCATGGAGTTTTTTTTTTATCACGTTCACCTGAAGATTACACATGGAGGGGAAAGACGATCACGTGGATTTCGTTGATATTAATATATTTTCAGTCCACGAACTTCATGTAATGGTACACGTACTCGGGTATGTCAATGGAGAAACATTGTACTACCATTTTCTCATCCGAAATGTTCACTTAAATTACAGCCTGCTTCCACTTGGTAATGACCAAGATGTGGTCAATTTAAGGCTATATGTTGTAGAAAATAAGATTATTAAAGTGTATTTTGAGCATGGACAAAATAGGGTTCATACGAATTTCATGCCCCTTCAAATGTAATGATTTAGGAGTTGGTAGACGACCAACAAATATCCCCTAAATTAAATAAGGAAAAAAGAGTACAAAGAAGGTAGGATCTTGTAACAAGAATCTGAATATAAATACCCCTACTTATTAATCATAGTCTATGGTGCTAGATCCTGCTTAGGAATATGGATATTATACATCCTTAGTTTTAGACAGACAATCCTAAGGTACACAAACACCACATGGGTCAAACTGTTTTATGGAGCTAAGTGTAGCAGTTGATTTTCATCCAGTTGGAACAATAAACGAGGAGGCAGCTAAAAAGTTTACTACTAACATGGTGGATGATGCACAAGATGAGTAATTTGGCTTTAATGATGAACAAGATAAGGAATTTGACTATATTGATGAGTAGGATGATGAATTTGGCTATAATGATGATAAAACATGTAACATCTCAAAATCACAACCACTTTAAACTTTTTAAAACAAGCCATTTACTAATAAAAGTGTTTACAAAATCATTGTTTCCAAATCATTATTTAAAATCAAAGTCTCCCAAGATCAGCAACATAAAATCCAAGGATGTGTACGATCACGCCTTCGCCTTGCCACGGTCCTCAGAAGTACCAGAAACAAAACCAAAACTGTAAGCCAATGCTTAGTGAGTTTCCCCAAGGTAGCACCACACAATACACATATACCATACAAATAAGCATGTTGGGTCCGATTAGTCATCAAACTGGAATACCCTCAGGCCCACAACCATCAGGATGGATTACCCCTAGCCCAATAAGTCATCAGAATGGAATGCCAATATACAGCAGGTCCACTCAGTCATCAGACTAGAATACCAATGTACTACGGGCCTACTCAGTCATTGGACTGTAATACCCTCGGGTCCACTCAGTCATCAGACTGGAATACCCCCGGTTTGTTAACTCATGCACATAGCAGTAAAGTCTCAACCCAACACAATATGTCGACATATAACATATAACAAACACATTCAACAGACAAATAATCATGCATACAGAAATCACAGGTAGTCCTACACATCTACCGGTCTACGCATATCAGCAGCTATTACATATTTATATAGATCTACCTCCATACTCAGCATATCATCAATCAAGATATATCAGGATAACAATCCAATTGGGTCGCCCATGGTGCCTTCGACCCACAAGTACAGTGAGGAAAACTCACCTCACAGCCTGACGTAAAGCCGAACACTAAATTGCTCAAAATACCGGCTATACAAGTCACCTATTCAACAGATAGAGACCAAGGCTCAACTGCACCTCAAAATACACAAAATACCCTTAAGTCAAACTTAGTCAACATTGGTCAAAGTCAACGGGTCAACACAGCCGAGTCAAATCAATCTAGTTGACTCATGCTTCGTACGCAGGGCGTACTCTGGAGGTACGCGGGGCGTACAATCATGTTCGAGGCATCGAGGACAGATCTGCGTATGTGTAACATACTCTAAAGTATGCCAAGCGTACGCAGCAGCCCTCCTCTTAGTCCATTAACCACTTATTTCTTCGATATAACACATCTAATTGTAGATCCAAGGCTAAAATACCATCATGAGTCATAATGTTTCCAACTTTATGACTTTGCATGCCCATTAAGTGCTTAAAACACAAAATCTCAACGTTTTAATGCATTAAGACCTTCTATAGCATGCATGGAGTGAAACAAACCATCAAGACCACATTTGTATGACTTAAGACCCCCATAAGGTCTGAAAGGACGACTTATTTGATCAAGAACATGCCATGCTCAAGAATCACCATATATGGGACCAAAAAGTGCCCTAAAGGAATAAATGGCTAGATCTACAAGATGGAGTGATCAAGTTGTGAACTTTATACCTCCTGGAGGTTGCTGACGAGAAGATAATCTCATATCCAAGATGCTTCCAAGCTCCAAGCTCTTGTCATCACCTTATTCTTCTTCAAGAACACCACCAAAACACTCCAATGGGCTCAAAATGCACTCTTCTCACTTAGGGTTTGCTTGGGGTCATTTTTCATAGAGGGAGTCTGATGAAGGAATGAGAAATGAGGATATAATAGTGTTTATATATGGACCAAAACCTCAAAACTAGGGTTTGTACTTTCTTCACGTACGCCCCATGTACGATATGTATGCCCAACATACTAGGGAGCGCCCTAGTACGCCTAGCGTACAGAATGTACGCTCAACGTACTACTCCTCGACAAAATTACCATATTGCCACTATGGGCTATTTTGCAATCCTTTCAAACCCAAGGGTTGGAATACAATATTATTCAAAAATACGGTTGAAATTGAACTTCGGGATGTTACAATTCTCCCCCAGTTGAATTAGACTTCATCCTCGAAGTCGGCCATCGCAAATAACTCAGGATAATGCTCCCGCATTTCAGCCTCCGACTCCCAGGTCCACTCGTTGCATCTCCGATGTTGCCACTAAACCTCTACCAAAGGTATCTCCTTGTTGCGCATGACCTTCATTTTTCTCTCCAACATAGCCACCCATCACTCAATAAAATGTAGGCGCTCATCGACCTGAATATCATCTAAAGGGACCACTGCCTCACCGTCCAACACATACTTACCAAACTGAGAAACTTGGAAACTATTGTGGATCTGACTAAGCTCACTCGGAAAATCCAACTGGTAGTCCACCATGCCTACCTTGACTTTCACACAGAACTATCCAATATACCGGGGACCCAATTTCCCCCCTATTCCGATATACTGGGGCCCTAACTTTATACCTCGTGGAGGTTGCTGACAAGAACATAATATCAGATCCAAGATGTTTCCAAGCTCCAAGCTCTTCTCACCACCTTCTTCTTGTTCAAGAACACGACCAAAACACTCCAATAGGCTCAAAATGCACTCTTCTCACTTAGGGTTTGCTTGGGGTTGTTTTTCACAGAGGGAGGCTGATGAAGGAATGAGAAATGAGGATATAATGGTGTTTACATATGGACCAAAACCTAAAAATTACGGTTCGCACATTCTTCACGTACGCCCCATGTACGACATGTACGCCCAACACACTAGCGCGCGCCCTAGTACGCCTAGCGTACACAACGTACGCTCAATGTACTAGTCCTGGAGAGAATTACTATATTGCTACTATGGTCTGTTTTGCAATCCTTTCAAACCCAAGGGCTAAAATACAATATTATTCAAAAATTGGGTTAAAACTGACATTACCTTGACTTCGGGATGTTAAAATTCCCCTCCTCCCCACTTGAGCTAGACTTCGTCCTCGAAGTCGGCCGTCATAAATAACTTAGGATAATGCTCCCGCATCTCTGCCTCCGGCTCCCAGGTCTTCTCGGAGCCTCTACGATGTTGCCCCTAAACCTTTATCAAAGGTATCTCCTTGTTGCACAGGACCTTCATTTTTCTCTCCGACATAGCCACTGACCATTCAATAAAATTTAGGGACTCATCAACCTGAATATCATCCAAACGTACCACTGCCTCACCGTCCAACACATACTTCCGCAACTGAGAAACATGGAAAGTGTTGTGGTTCTGACTAAGCTCACTTAGCAAATCCAACCGGTAGGCCACCGTGACTACCTTGACTATCACACGGAACTGTCTAATATACTGAGGACCCAATTTCCCCCTCTTCCTAAAGCGTATC